AGAACATTTATATAATGAAATTATTTTATTTGGAATTAGGTCATCATTTAACTCATCACTATTACTGGCTAAAAAAGTCATATTTAAATTGATTCCATAGTGAATACATAATTATAGTGTACTATTTCATAGAGTAGCATATTAATTAAGCTTATGAGTAAAGTCCTTGTAATGAGCGAAAGCACTTTGAATAACCAACCTAGCTATATAATCTTACTATATACTTTTTATCCTTCTATCGGATTTCAATACATTGGAATATGAAGGGCATACTATCAGATATGTTAATTAATCAGATATGTTTTGAAACAGATGAAATCAGATGCAAGAAATACCTTATCTCACTAAATAAACATCGCTTTATTCGATAGTTTTATACTTTTGATCCTCTAATTGTAAGTTATATAGTCATAATCTGTAAAATATTATTTGAAATCGGTTATTTAAGTACACACAATAGAACAAAGTACATTTTTACAAGAATTTGTAAAATATTTTTTTCCCATAGTTTTCAAAATTTAAATGCATTTTTTCATCAAATAATATTTAGTTTTCGAGAAAAGGAATTTGCTCTCTTTTCTTGGTTCATTTTTCTTTACTTGTGTAAATGATTCTCGAGAAATGATTTTTTTAAAAAAAATACGACATTTAAAATTTGATAACTCCCAAACTATTCGACCAATTTCAATCAAATTGTGTATTTTGTCATACAAAATTTCTCACTTTAAAATGATGTTAAAATGCGTTATCCTTTAAATTTTAAAATTTTCAATTACACTTAATTTAAATAATTTGTATTTAAATATTGTATCTTCGTTGCCTCGACCCTCTTCAACATCGACCTCAACTGCTGCCATGACACTCTTTATACCGAAAAAGTCAGAGATGTGGCCAGGGCTGTGCTCCATGCCTTCGATCCCATTTGACTTGCACTTTAACTTTTCTGCATTTGTCAAACGAAAACAACAACAATAAAGAATATAACTAAACCACACACTTTTTTTCAAATCTAAGGTATGATATTTTCATTGTCTTATAAATAAATTTGTTTTAATTTTCAAATAAATGTAACAATTTTGCTTTCTATTAATAAATCGCCATTTTTTAGAATAATTCTCTTGACTTCGATACCATTTAATGAACTCGTAAAAATTAAGAAAATGTAGAACTGCATTTCGTAACATAAATAATAATGTTATTTGTTTTTGGTTTGCTTACTGTTTATTCATTTGTTTACTCATAATTACTCAAACTTTATTTACTCCTGAAAACAATAATCTCTGTCAACTTAGTTTCATTTTATATTTTATAACTTTTTTTCAACCCCCAATTGCCCATTGAATCCAAAATATTTTCTACTATATAATAATACATTTTGATGTTGCATGATATGGTTGATGACATTCAAAAAAGAAATACTTCCAAAATGAGTAGCATAACTTTAATTTATAATTCAACACATCTTATGACAATAGTCACACGGAGAAATCATTACGGTTATATCCTTGTTCTACTTACATTAACTTGCTTCAAAACAGCTTGCTTACTTAAAATCACATTATTAAGATAGCTTTAAAAAGTAGAACTGCGTAAGTCAATTTAAAATTTTATCCCTTATTACCAAAAGCGGTCTGAAAACATCAAGCAGACGCTTTTCATAAATATCAGCCGCATGTTTTGAATTCAAGTTATCGTCAAAATATTTGTCTTTATAGCCTTTTTGATTAAATTGTTGCAAACCTGCTGTTGTTGTTGTTAATTTACGTTGCACTAGAGCTGCACAATGGACTATTGGCGACGGTCTGGGAAACATCCCNAACCTTAACGACGTATTTAAATAACAACCTCCTTTATACCTTTCAAATATACCTCGTTTATACCTCGATTTTTTCATAAGGGTGACGTCTACTTTCTTAGTTAAATTCACTTTTCAACGCTGTGTCATTATTAAATGCGTGACAATGTGGATAATTTTAAACCGAGAAATTCCAATGTGCCATTACTGCAACGAACAGAAAGAAAATACTTCAAATTTTGGTGTTTATCCCCAGCAAACCCGTAATTGTTTTCATTTTCTATCAGAAATTATTTTACCATACAAAAGTGATTTTATTTTTTGAATTGTTTTTTTCCCCTCAATGTTAAAAATTAATTATCCTTATGTGAGACCCAGGTAATCCAGCTTCACGTAATATTAAGCATTTTAGCCTAATGTCGATACGTTTCATCTAAATTTTCGTAAAAATTAGTTGATTCATGGTAATTTTTCATAAAAATATAATTTCTTAAACTATTTAGTAAACTTCCATTGTTACTGCTCTCTGAGGTTTCAAATTTGTTTGTTATTGTTGAGTTTTCTTTCATTTTAATTACTTCTAAGCAACAATACTTGACAGAATTCAATATTTTTATTTTTATTTTAGTGCATTGTTTAAATGGTTCTTAAAACATTGTTGCCAAAAATATGCCTTTGTTGTTCACACCAACAATATAAGAGAAAATATTAAATCCTCATTCTTATTTGAGCTTTTATAAGTGAATAACGTCTTTTTTGACAAGTGACTTATAATTTGTGAAAATGAGTGAATTATTTCGTTTTGCTGTTCTTAATCACTGGCAAAAAGAGTTGAAAAGGAATCCAAGGCCTTATCGTAATTATGAAAATTATTAATTTCTAAAATTTTAAGTAAGAGATAAATTTCGAACTATCACCAAATCTTGATTAGGATCTATCTAAGACTTTTTGGTACTAAGCAGGAAGTGGTGATTTACATTATTAGAAGTCTATATTATTTTGTGTTAGATAATCCCTAACTTCTTCAATTTGTGATTTCATTCCATAAATGTTTTAATTTAATCTTATTTGAAAATTGTTGAAACTGAATTGAATTAAATACAAAAATTCTTCCATAAATTGCATGCAGAAGTATTAAAGAATGAAAAACTTCAATGAGAAATAGAAAAGAAAAATATAAAAAAAAACTGGTGTTACTTGTACAAATACAAATATATTATTACCTTTTAACGGTCCAAAATCCGATATTTTTTGTGAAACAGTTTTATATTCTGAAGAATAAAAATAATTTTTTAACGCTGCAATTTATTTTTCCTTCATTAGAAATTACTTTTATAATGCAATTTCTTAAGGGTTTTAATTGATGCAATCCATGATGCACTAAACTGTAAATCATTACAGATTAGATTACGGTAAAAGGTACTTCTACTTTGGGTGCATATCATGTGTAAAATACATGACATCCGGAAAGGCACTACTTTTTATCACGAAATCCGTTTTTACCGGAACCTGTTATGGATCGAAAAATTTTGCAATAACTATTACCGTAAAATCATTGAATCATTTATATTAAATAAATATTACTGTAAAAATTACGGCATAATATTTTACGGTAAAAATGTGCTTTAGTGTAACATGTATTTTACTGATAATGCACCCAAAGTACCAATACATTCATTGTACCGTAATTTTATTCAGAATTTTTCAGTGTAGAAAAAATACATTTAGAAAAATATCAAGAAAATGATCAATTCAAGTCCTGTTGGAAATAGTTAGCATTCGTAGAAATATAAAGAAGATTATTATATTGTTTTGTGTGAGGAAATACTTCAATTTATGTAAATTGTAAGTTTATTTTAAACTGAAGAATCTTTCATCATTATATCATTTCGAGAGCCGGTTTCTACTCGATCTATAATATATATTTATATTAGGCTAATAGGAACCTATCACAACAATAAAAGTAATTACTTAGTCATTGATTAAGCATGATTGGTATAACTAATAGTTCGACGATATTTTGAGATCCCCGAATTGAAATAATACTTGTATTTCTAATGTTCACATAACATTTAAATTATTATACATTAAATAAAGAAATTAAACTCATCAAAAAGGGGTGTAGAAAGAAAATGTTGTTGTATGTGCATTCATATAAAAAGATTCCTTACTTTTAAATAAATTCCTTACTTCAAAAAAAAATTTTTTTTTAGATTCCTTTTTAATTTGAAGCAATTATATTTTAGTTGAAAACTATAATATTTTAACTATATAATAAAATANAATAACTATTACCGTAAAATCATTGAATCATTTATATTAAATAAATATTACTGTAAAAATTACGGCATAATATTTTACGGTAAAAATGTGCTTTAGTGTAACATGTATTTTACTGATAATGCACCCAAAGTACCAATACATTCATTGTACCGTAATTTTATTCAGAATTTTTCAGTGTAGAAAAAATACATTTAGAAAAATATCAAGAAAATGATCAATTCAAGTCCTGTTGGAAATAGTTAGCATTCGTAGAAATATAAAGAAGATTATTATATTGTTTTGTGTGAGGAAATACTTCAATTTATGTAAATTGTAAGTTTATTTTAAACTGAAGAATCTTTCGTCATTATATCATTTCGAGAGCCGGTTTCTACTCGATCTATAATATATATCTATATTAGGCTAATCACCTATCACAACAATAAAAGTAATTACTTAGTCATTGATTAAGCATGATTGGTATAACTAATAGTTCGACGATATTTTGAGATCCCCGAATTGAAATAATACTTGTATTTCTAATGTTCACATAACATTTAAATTATTATACATTAAATAAAGAAATTAAGCTCATCAAAAAGGGGTGTAGAAAGAAAATGTTGTTCTATGTGCATTCATATAAAAAGATTCCTTACTTTTAAATAAATTCCTTACTTTAAAAAAAAAATTTTTTTTTAAGATTCCTTTTTAATTTGAAGCAATTATATTTTAGTTGAAAACTATAATATTTTAACTATATAATAAATTAAAAACTACATTAAATAGTTTTCTTTTCATAAAATGAGCTAGGTTATTTAGCTACTATTATTCCATTTCTGTTTGAAAATTTAGTTACAATTCTTCAGTTTGTGGTTGATTATCCAGTTATTATATGTTTAATGATCATAAAATATTTCTGTTACCCAAATTTAAATTTAGTCAAAAGTAAGCTTAATTAAAATTTAATTAATAATCTATTTTTAGCGCCTGGATTTCTTGCTGAGGACACCAGCAGTAGTTCATCTGAAACAGATGGGTAAGTATTTGATTTAGATTGCCAAATAGTGTAATTTCTTTTAGGAAAAAAAAAAGGTAGTTTTTTAAAGTTTGAAAAATAAATAAATAAATCGATAAATTAAAAAAAATAAAATAAAAAAATAAAATAAAAAATTTATAAAATAAAAACTTATAAATAAAATAAAAATAAATAAATAAAATAAAAATATATAAATAAACTAAAAAATAAATAAAAGAAAAATAAATAAATAAAAAATAAATAAAAGAAAAAAATACAAAAAAAAATTCTTTTCAAGAAGTGTAAAGAAACCGTCTCATTTAAATAATTTAGATTATATATCATTGTTTGAAAAAAAAATATTACATTACATTTTGTACTTAGAATCTGGAATATGGAGAAAAAATATTAAATGTAAATATAAATATAAAATGTTAATACAAAAATGAAAAATATGTTAGGAGATATTTTTAAGAAAATTGATTTCATTAATATTAACTTTACATTAAACTAGTCTTTATAATGGCTTAAATATGAATCGAGCAAGAAACTGGTGAAAGATGACCCTCTTGAGATAATTAAATATTTTGTCTATAAATATCTAATCTGTAAATATATTGTTTTCTTTCTTTTTTCAGCTACGAAATGCTGGAGGTTGAGAGTGAGGTAGAGTGTGAGGAGTCAAATTTGACTTCTGATGAGGAGGAGGCTAATGATAGGTACTATATAAAGTTATTATCTTTAAATGATCATAATATTTGTATTTTAAACTACTTTAAATATCCAAAAAGAATTGCTGTTTATTAGTACACAAAATACTACCATGCAATAGAAAATAAAATTGTAGTGATAAGGAATTCAAAAAAATTTTTTTTTGCATTTGGCATTTTTGTATGATATGCTGCCAAATGCAATTTTTTTTTCAAAAAAAAATTGTATTTTTTAATTTTTGAAATTTTATATTAGAGTTCATATTATTAGTAACAGAAAGAAATGTAAGTCAAAGAAATCTATCGTGGATAATATGCGATGTTTCTACTTTTGCATACATATTTTCATATTGGAATCAGCAAAAATATTTTAAATTATGTAAATAAAATTAATTAGCTATTATATGAGACATGTAAATATAAAAGGCCTATAGGATTATGAACGTAAAGTGCAAGAAAATATGCTTAAATTCTCATAAATAAAAAGACTTGTTATTATAAATTTTTTACTATTAATTGAGTTAAGCAAAATCATGTCTTGAAATTAAAGCAACAATATAATGTGATAATTTCATTTTTCACCTTTAGCGATGATATGGAAGAATTGAGTGCTGAAATAGAGCATTCTGAGTCATCTACAACTGATGACGAAGAGGTTGAAATTTTGGATAGGTAATCTGTTTAAGTTTCATTTTTTGATATCGTATTTATTGTCTTTAGTTAGATTTTAAATATTTAGCGATTTTTTATATCATATATTGAATTGTATTTATGTTGCTGCTTTTGAATGCTGATTTTCATTGTGGAAACTTAAGAAAATAGCTGTGTAGAATTCTTTTTAAGAAATGTAAATTGAAATAATTTATGATAATCAGAGTTATATGAATTAAAATAAATTGTACAAAATTCAGAAAAGTATGATTCAATTCATGTTATTAAAAAACATGCAATTATGCTGCATGTTAAGCATATGTAAAGCTTGACGTGTTCACTATATAATATAGTAATTTTATTTTTTTATCTTTAGGGATGACTTGGTTGAAATGGGTGCTGAAATAGAGCAAAAAGAGTCATCTTCATCTGATGGCGAAGATATTGCTATAGAGAATAGGTAGTTTAAATATTATTGAAATTAAGTATTTTAAACAAAATTTTATAAACGTTGTAATTTTTAAAACAAATGCTACTTTTTTGCATGTAAACTTTCGTAGTGGAATGAATAGAAAATATATACTTAGAATTTATTTAAAAAGTACGAACTAAATGAATTTGTTCTGGTCTGACCAACATGAATTTAAAAAAATTAACATGAAGCATAAACGTGTAACGCATGAAAATGGTTTAAAAAGCTAATAATTTTACTTTTTGATAAGTAAATATTTCAAGCAAATACTGTTAAAAAAGACTTTCTCAAAATAAATATAGTCGAATTTTAATACTCACGCATTCAATACCGGTAAAGAGGCATGGTTAAAATTAAAACAGGGTGTATATTTATTTTGATGCATCATGGCAAAATGTAAAATCATCATCAAATGTGACAAGATTCAAATTTTATTTGTTTATAACGATTAAATAATCGGAAAAAAAAGTCTAATTTGATAATAGTTTATTGCACTTACCTCCATTCTAAAATTATTTTACAATCTACTATATTTAGTTCTACTTAGCCGCCATGTTTATTTACAAATGAAGATGGGTTCTCATAGATGTTCTTTTGAACATGTCACTATACATGGAGTTTTCCATTTAAATTATATATATTTTTTGGAGCTATTCTATCACATTTTTTCACGAATTTGAGAAACTCATTTTAACAGGGAAGGCATTTGTTAATCTTGAGGTAATTATCCCATGCACTAAATTCTTTTATTTTCAGCGAAACAATGGAGGAATTGCAGGCAGATATTGAGCCTAAAGAGTCACAAGTGATTCTTGAAAAAGAGATGGTTGATATGGATGGGTAATTAAAATCATATTTTAAACTTACATAAAATGAGTCTTCAATAAGTTAATACAAAAGATTTAAAATTTCATGGTCCTAAATGATAATTTTATTTTATTCGAATTTTTTTAATTATTTTCTTCGTGAAACAAATAACCTACATTCTATTTCATTCATCTTCAAATAGAATGGATATTTTCCGCTTCCATTTTCATCAGATTTATGTTAAATAGTGGCAGTATTTTAATCCAAAACCCGATTTTCTGCACTTACGTAGTTTTGCGTAACTCCTTCTTACTGTCCATAAATACTCATAATTTTATTTTATTAACTGAATGCAATTCCGTTTAATGTAAATATATTTTTTAAATAAGAATGTATCATCAATTTATCTACTTTATTATCCAAAATAGGGATTGTAACCACAATCTAGAAGACATGATCTCAATAGATCAATTTTACTTTCTATCAAAAGATCTGTTGACAGCTTTTACACCTTAAAGTTAAAAGTTAATAATGTGTTCAAGTTTTTATTTCTTCTCTTTTTAGCTAAAAGCACATAAATTTTAATATTAAATTAATTTTCTTCTTTAATTTTAGTAGTGATAGAAGTGGCCATTGGTACTTCGAGATTGATTCGAGGGAAAGGAAAATATTGGCCAAGGCTAATGAAGTGAAAGAATCACTGGATATTGTGGTTGGATTAAAGAGGTATCTATTAATTGCTATCGATCTTATTTAAATAAGTGCATTTCTTTGAATGTGAGTTTAAACCACTTATATGATTTTCTATGTGCTTTAAAAGTATATTTTATGATTTATTTATTTAATTCCACGTCTTCTTTTTAAACTAAAAAAGTTATAAATAGTAATCAAATATGCTTTTAAGAAGTATAAATTGGGTATACGAGCAAAAGTTCAGAGAAAAATTTTTTTATTAAATTTATGGACACTATTTATGCACATGGTAAAGTATTAAAAATACATTTTCTTTAATTTTTCGCATTTTATATATTGACTAACTAAGTATGATGTTTTCCATGGACAATCGAGCATGATGTATTCATTCAATAAACATGAGAAGCAATTTAAATAGTTTTTTAAAAATTATTTAAAAGAAATAGCTCTTAAAGATGCAACCATAAAGCAAAATTTTAAATGGTGTCCAGAATACGTAAAAAGAATTCATTATATATATTTGAATTTTTCTGATTTCAGCACGGCAACTATCGATATTTGGAAGGGGGGGATTCTAATCTGTTCTAAAAATTTAAGTTAATTCAGAGAAAGTACTCTAGTACTGTCGGGACTAATTAATTAGTGTATTTAAAATAAAACACTGCAATATATAAGGTTGTTTGATTACAAATTGCGATATTTTCCGTTACACTTCAAAAATAAAACATCAAGGTACATCTAGGTATCATATCTATTGTTCATAATTAAATTTTCTTTTTTAAATTACTTTATATTTAATTATGTAAAATTTATTGTGCATGTTTTTCCAATTCGTTAGATTCTTTGATTTTGATAATAAAATCAAATGTACTGTGATTGTAACATTAAGAAAATTTTATGATAAGAATAAGGTATTTCAATGATTAAGGATAAGGTCAAGATTAGATGAACTTTGGATTTTGTTATAATAAGAAATAATGCAACGTTCTTTCTAAAAATACCTTGTCAAGCTTATTAGTTAACGTAAATATTAATAAAATTCTTCTCTTTTTTTTTAACAATATCTCTTGCAATTCTTTCACATGCATGATTAATAAACAAAATAATTAAAGTCTGATATAAATTTACGTACACAAATAACTTTCTTGTGGATTGTTTAACAATAAATATATTATTCCTTACAGTTGGGGAGATATTTCTCTTTTGACAAAAAATCTGGAGGAAAAATTGGCCCAAAACCCAGATTTTGCTGAGAAAAGAGAAAAGGCGAGAAAGAAAGAGAGGAGAAGTCTCCGTTACTTTGTGAGACGCCTATTTAGTGGGTGTTTCATGAGGAAATATTAAAAAACAGAGTGAACCCGAAACTAGACATTTCCCAACTTACGACTACCGAACTTCGACAAAATTTCTCAAATTGTGACTCCAAAAGTACCCATTTCCAGACTTAGTGATTCTGAAAGTTTACAATTCCTGAGTATTGGACTTTTCCTGACTGTGACAATTCCCGATCATGACGAAAAATTTCCGAATATGTGACTACAAAAGCATACATTTCCCGATTGTGTGTCTTTACCTACCTGTGTGAGTCTAATACTACGTATTAACTAACTAAAGACTCTGCAACTGGACGAAAACGCCTGATTTTGTCATTCCAAAAGTATGCATTTCCAAATTGAAAAACTCACAAATATTTGGACAATTTCCGACTGTCTGACTCTAAAAACTGAAGACTTTACGATATCTTAAATCAGTTAAGAGCAGCCGAATGTAAGAGAAAAAAGTGATTTTCCAAATCCATCATTACAAAAACTGTGTGACTCCAAAATTATACAACATCACCAACTGCATGACAACCGAATTTTACCACCTTTAATTGCAAGTTTTATCTTTATTTATTAAAAATTATTTTATGCATGTAAAATCAACACTAAGAACAATAAATGAAACATGTTTAAAGCTTTGTTATGTTTTATTACTCTTATTATTCAGAATTATTGAAATTAATTTTTATTAAAAATGTATATTACTACTGTGTGAATTTAATAAGTCGAACACATTTTTTTAACCTCAGGGACTTATCCAATTAATCGCTAAAACTAGAAACTGCCGACGCAGTTCAATTTATATCACTTAGCTAATTCCAGAAATACCTTTTGTCTCACGATTGTTCATAAACAATGAAATATACTACAATAAATTTCATAGCTGATTTTAATTAGTTTTTTATACCTGCTTTGCATTGTTCGTCAATTCTCTGAATTGCTTGTTCAGTTCTTTCCAGATAACTTGCGTCTTTTATCAACCTCTCAGAAGAAATACAATATATTTGTTCCATTTAATCCTTGAAATTGCCTAATCTGAAGAAGCCTTTTTTCTTTCGACACATCTTAACTGTCAAATGTTGTTTTTTCGCTTATGACATGATATTCGTCTCTTCCAAATACACACATCTAAAAATCGGTAATTTTTTTTCTTTTCGAATGTAAATAGAGAACTATTAACGATTAACTTAGACTCGGGCGAAGAGCTTATTTTCGATCTCTAGTGGCTGCTTTCAGTAATATTAGATTGCTGTATCGTAAGAGTTTGTCAATATATCTTCAAAATCAATTACCCAAATCAAAAAAGTTGAGTATCCACCTTTGGAACTCTCTTACCTAAAGGAAAATTAGTCAAAAAATGATGTCTTATAATTACAACAAAAATAATATCATTTAATTTAAAAATAGTATAAAAAAAAGTTTCAACTATTAAGTTTTGCAACATCTATGTTTTACAGAAAAAATACATTAGTTACTTGAAAAATACAAAATTTAAACATGTGTTAAATAACTCAGGAAAAATATAATAAATGAAAAATGATTTATATAAATTTTTATTTGTCATTTTCGAAATTGTCGTAATATCAGTTGGAAGAAAAAAAACGTACCTCGGCATTTTAATACAAACCTTACCTGGATTTATTGTTTACTGCAGAAGTTGAGTGGAAATGTAGAAAATGGTATACTGTAAAACATTCTGCATCAAATTGCGATAAAAATTAACGACAATCAGGTTGTTGATACATGTCACCATAAAATTCATTTTTATCAGAATATGTTATGGAAATAAAATCATATATACCATATATTTAATAGTAACTTAAATTCACTGAATTATACTAATTAAAAANAATTGAAGCAACAATATAATGTGATAATTTCATTTTTCACCTTTAGCGATGATATGGAAGAATTGAGTGCTGAAATAGAGCATTCTGAGTCATCTACAACTGATGACGAAGAGGTTGAAATTTTGGATAGGTAATCTGTTTAAGTTTCATTTTTTGATATCGTATTTATTGTCTTTAGTTAGATTTTAAATATTTAGCGATTTTTTATATCATATATTGAATTGTATTTATGTTGCTGCTTTTGAATGCTGATTTTCATTGTGGAAACTTAAGAAAATAGCTGTGTAGAATTCTTTTTAAGAAATGTAAATTGAAATAATTTATGATAATCAGAGTTATATGAATTAAAATAAATTGTACAAAATTCAGAAAAGTATGATTCAATTCATGTTATTAAAAAACATGCAATTATGCTGCATGTTAAGCATATGTAAAGCTTGACGTGTTCACTATATAATATAGTAATTTTATTTTTTTATCTTTAGGGATGACTTGGTTGAAATGGGTGCTGAAATAGAGCAAAAAGAGTCATCTTCATCTGATGGCGAAGATATTGCTATAGAGAATAGGTAGTTTAAATATTATTGAAATTAAGTATTTTAAACAAAATTTTATAAACGTTGTAATTTTTAAAACAAATGCTACTTTTTTGCATGTAAACTTTCGTAGTGGAATGAATAGAAAATATATACTTAGAATTTATTTAAAAAGTACGAACTAAATGAATTTGTTCTGGTCTGACCAACATGAATTTAAAAAAATTAACATGAAGCATAAACGTGTAACGCATGAAAATGGTTTAAAAAGCTAATAATTTTACTTTTTGATAAGTAAATATTTCAAGCAAATACTGTTAAAAAAGACTTTCTCAAAATAAATATAGTCGAATTTTAATACTCACGCATTCAATACCGGTAAAGAGGCATGGTTAAAATTAAAACAGGGTGTATATTTATTTTGATGCATCATGGCAAAATGTAAAATCATCATCAAATGTGACAAGATTCAAATTTTATTTGTTTATAACGATTAAATAATCGGAAAAAAAAGTCTAATTTGATAATAGTTTATTGCACTTACCTCCATTCTAAAATTATTTTACAATCTACTATATTTAGTTCTACTTAGCCGCCATGTTTATTTACAAATGAAGATGGGTTCTCATAGATGTT